AGGTCAAACAACTTCTATACAATGGAAGGAGACTGTGACCACAAAAAAAAGACCACACCATCTTGGTCTTTATACTTTCAATCAAGACATGTTTTTAAGTTAATCCAATGATTAAATGAGCATGTCATCGCACAAAGGTCTGGAACGAGGGCTTCAACTTTCCCGTAAAGTCTTACCTTAATTGGGGTTAGACAATAGTTGGTTATATATAGCCTTTTTAGTCATCCATTAGTTCGGTGGTATTGTCTTCTTCCTGCATTGCAGACCATTATTTGTCAGGCTGATGAAATGCAGTTGCATGCTCTGGGTGTGCCTCTTTACGATGACGACGAGCATCAAGTATCGGTGTGTCAGCATGCAAAGATTGTGTGTTTATAGGTTTTGCTGATCTTCTTCCAGTCTACGAAAGCAGAACTTTAGGGAAGGGTGATAAACTAGGCCTTTGCACGGTGTATACCGATGAGATCGCTGACGTGAGACTGGCTCATCTGTTTGCAAATGGTCATGTGTAGGACGGTTTGGAAGCGGATTTTTTAAGCAAAGTTGCCCGGAATGACTGGAGTACTCCTTGAGCCGACTGCTAAACCCTCTTCTATCAGCCTGATTCACTGAGCGTTTGGGTGATTCGCCTGAGTGATGGAAAATGCATGTGTACTGTTGGATGGCCAAATTGTAGTGGCACGCCAAATGTGCGTGTATATGTGATGATTCTGTCATATAGTTGGGCAATGACGGCAGTGACGTCCAAAAGGTGACGGGATAATGCGTGTCGACTCGGTCAAGTGGGCATGGGGGACGAGAAGACGTCCTGTAACATGATAGTGAAGTGGACCACTTGAAAGTGAAGAGGTCGGGGCTGTCATCTCAAGTGGGTGCGATTGTGGTTGTGTGTGCCGTCAGCCGTGACAGGGATAATTGGCGAATGTGTGACTGTTGAAGTGGGGCCAACAAGACTGGGCAAATGTTGGGCCGCCTGTGAGCCGAGCATTGAGGCAAAACGAGTAAAACAAAGTAAACAGTCACGACAGCCGTTCTGGCTTGTCCTTAGTTTGAGGAACAGGTTGGTTGACCAGGCCTGCTCACTTGCACACGACTGTCAACTCCAGGTTGGAATGGACCCACTACGACAGAGAGCCCTCAAGCTAAGAAGATGATATCGTTGGGCTGTCCATAACTCTCACTCCACTCGTGATGCACATACTTGTATGAACAGTCTTCGTGTCGAGATTGATGGGTAACTAGGACTTGACGAATCACATGTTTAGTCGCCTGATCACTAGGGCTTAGCGAACTTTTGTAATCACATCAATGCAATCCCATCTGCAATTTGCCCATGTCTTTTAGTCCACACGAAGCCTGGCAACACAGGAAGAAGGCTGCGATTTAGATTTGTGCATAATCTGAAAACTTCTTCCATCAATTCAAGGTATGAAGGACATGATGGTGCGGGATGACGCAGTTTTCTAGGCGAGTAAAGAAGGCTTGACTTTCATCTGTTGTTGCCAAATGGTGACAACTCAACATTATTTCACCAAAATCGAAGGGCGCACTGAGGACTACGTCAGACTAAACAAATGAGACCAAGGAGATTCCACCTTCGCCTTGCGTTCGGATCGGAATAACTCTCTTCAATAAACATTTCTACGCGAAATGGAAAATAGGGAGAAAGTCAAGATTAAGAAAAGATAACGTATATGAAGAAAAGTTGTGCCTTGAAGAGCCCCTCATTTAGTTAATGTGAATTAGTTTCACTGGAAACCGAAGGTATAAAGGCCGTTGGTTTGTACCAAGAAGCCCTCGGCTCACCGTCATGCTTTCATCTGTCATGTGACAAGCATCCTCCTGGCAATAAACTATTCTTTATAAGATAGAAAACCACTATAGTTAACCAATATACACCTGGCTTAGTACATCATTGGGCTGATTCGTAAAGTATGGTTTCTTGATCTGACGGTGTCCGTCACATGAAGGACAAAAGCCTATCACAGATTCATCGGAGTCACAGGACAGTAGACGTGAAGGCAAAGATGGTGTAATATTAGGTTTGGACGCAGTCTCATTTAGCTTTATGGTGTTGGTTCGACTTCGCTTTCGCAACTTGGTCAGAGTGTCCGGAGAAAAAGCAATCACTACACTACTTGAAAACTTGTAAAAAGATAATAACATCCTGGAGATGGAGCGAGTCCTTAAAGAGTCTCTAACTAGATTAATCAATGTAACAATAATAACTACGTATAGATACGAAGAGTAACTGGGTTTCGAGGACCTAACCTGAGCTTGGTATTAAAGTCAAACGGCTGCAGTGCAACAGGCTTCAGTCGTCGTCTTCCGGTGAGGTCAACGCACGAATCACTTTTCCATGCACTTTCATATGAAATGAAGGTCTCTCCAGCAAGAACTACCTATTTTACGTTAAATGGCCGCATCTATGAGCAAATATCTGGTCTGTCTATGGGCTAACCATTCTTACCTCTGTTGTCTAATCTCTACATGGGCAAGTTGGAGAGCAACTTCGAAACGTCACTTAGCAGCCGACAGTAATTTTCCTATATTTGGATGACTACTTAGCAATCTGGTCGCATGAAAAAGAAAAATTTAAACGATTTGCTGGTCTTCTTGAACGAAATGGATGAAAAAGTCAAATTTACAATGGATGTGGAAGAGAATGGACACTTACCATTCTTGAATGTGGAGGTCATTCGGTCCAATGAGACTGTCAAGAAACGAATTTTCCGAAAAAAATCGCATAAAGGGAAGTCAAGAAAATAGTTATTGCCGTGAGAACAGTCAAACTCTAGATTAGCTTGAAAATTTGCCGGAAAGAGGTCCATCTGTGGGATGTGAAATAGGAAATTAAAGGCCAGAAGCATACAGGTTGTGCTCAATTTTAGGTGCTAGGCTAAAGATACATGCGTGATAGATATAGTTTACCAGTGTTTGTTGGTATTTGCTTTAGGGAGAGGTCACTGAAAGCATGTCTGATCAAGGGGGCATACCAACCAAGGTACACATGAACAATTGACTATTGCCTTAGCTTTACATGGGAATGTCAACTTGAGAGATAAGAAGAATGTGCTTTGCGCGATTCAGAAGTGGAAAAGTGAAGCAGTATGTTTTCACACTATACAGAGAACCTCAAATAATGGGATACAATGAGTGGTGATGAGAAGGTGGATAACAGGATGATGAGTCTGAAGTATATGGACAGTAATATGCCTAGGCCTGTGCATCACCGACTGTAGGTTCTAGAATATGAAAGTGGTTTTGATGTGTAGCAGCGATCAAATGACAAGCGGGGTGGAAGATGGGGGTGTTGTATGAAGGTCAAAATACCTGCAAACAGCACTTAGAACCGGTAGTGAGGATGATCACGCTTCACTATGTCCACTGGAAGCGACACATCCTCCGGCGACATTGGGAAAAACGAGAGCACAGCATTGTGTGAATAGGTAAATAAAGTGAGGTTGATAGAAAGAGAAGCAGCACTAGAAGGTAGGACAGAAAAGTGAGGCAAGTAGTGATGCAAAACTGATTAACAAAAAATTTGTCACTTGTCACATTGATAAGTAGTAACTATGTGCTAACGATGGCGCTTCTCCCTGACGATGCCTGTAAAAAGTTTGAGATTGTGCCAACTCAGATACTGGAAATCACGAATGCTATGGAAGAGAACACAATACCAGCTCCGTTCCACAAGGTCTCCCTGACGCTCTAGCCAAGTTTCGAAAACGCTGTCGAGTCAACACAATTCTATAACTATCAATGCCCATGCATTTTAGTTTTTTGTCATGAGTATATATGAAAGTAAGATAGTCACCTTGACCTATTGTTAACGTGAGACTTTTTTGAGAATGATGATATTCATTACATGATGGACGAAAGTTAAGTTCGCTTTCATCCGAAGCGAGAGAAGTGGTCTCGGGGACTGCGTCAAAATGGAAGTCGTATTATAGCCAAACGGCTGCAGTATAGCATGAATCAGCTGTCATCTTCCGGTGAGATCGAACTTCGAATCTCTTCTTTATGCACTTTCAATCGAAATGAAAGTCTTCCTAACAACATTCTCTTCAAAATTTCAATTTTGATGCAACTTTGTGTATTCTTGTTGCGTGTGTTTTTAGATTACCCGTAATTGTTGAATAGAATAATGAGTCAGTCAGGCGAATTAATAACTTATAACAGGCTAATAATCATTCACGGTCGTAAAGGTTTATGAAAGTTTCGTTTCTCCAGGCCTGAATGCGGTTTCGAAATGGCCTCGGTCTTATCATCATGGGTGGTA